CACACACTGCAGGGTCGCAAGATGTCAAAAGGCTGCAGTGAACAGTCTCAAAGCGTGCGAAGTGTGTAGGAAGCAGTCTCGAGAGGTACAAGTGCAAAAGCTAACCAAAGCGAGACAACAAGAAGCTTTTTCTGCTGCTGTGTTTCACCTTTCCCTTTGTCATGGACAGCCCGAGGAAAAGAAAGTGGTTGGTTCTAGTGACTTGGCTGGCGCAGACCATGACCACTTTGATCAAGAAGTTGGAGCCAAACCCTCCGAAGACCTGGCCCTCTTGCAGGCTTGCCAAGACTTCTTGAGAGCATTTGAGTACAAACCCTGTGTGGCGTCCCTTGCTTGTTAAGTCCGAGCGTTCCACTATGTTCCACTTCCTCCGTGTCGGGGTGTGGTAGCAAGTTGTATACTCAGTGAAGATGTTGTGAAAGCAACATGTTATGGCCAGTTTCAGTATGCTTAAACATGAGATGTGACATCAGTTTTTGCCTGAGAACCTGTGAGATGCCAAACTTGTAGGGACAAGTGCAGAGAGGTGCATGCAGATGTCAATGATGTTCTTTTCGTGTTTGAGAAAACGGGAAGGGTGGAGCGCCACTGGGGACATTTGGGAGGGTGGACAGATTGGGACAACACGGGTAGACTGCTTGGTGGGTCGCAGCGATCCCTGCCGACTGGACCGGCCATGCTGCGGAAGACACCTGAGCTTCCCATCATCTTAAACAGATGCTCAGTGATTTTAATTCTGCAAAAGACTCCGAACAGAGAACTAGGGTCAAGGTCAGCTTCTTTGACTCCCTGGAGTAGCAAAGTCATACATCAGGAATGTATCACAAAGTGCGGTAATGCATACAAAGACATCGTTGGTTGGCGCGATACGAGTGACTCAGCCCTTTTTGACTTGGGGATACCGCGGCGGGTTGGCATTCTTGGGCAAATCTGAAAGTCAGCATGCGTGCACTTCCAACGCCTGGAAGCGCCTGGAAGCATGTGTGACACTGGACCCAGCTTGAAGCTTGTAGGCGAGCTCGTGGAAGTACAAAGCTCCTATTTGCCTCCACTCGGAATGGGGGCTTTGGAGGCATCACAGGCCTGCACCTCACGCCAAAGTACAGGATTCAACATGTTGGCCACTTCCTTTAAAAGCGGTTGTTCAGTTTTGGCTCTCTCAGTCTTGTGTGTCTACTTTTTGTATGACCAACCGAATGAAGCACTCCACACGAAAGCCTGCAAGAGCTACGAGGTGTAAGACTCCCAAACAGCAACCTGGAATCGCTCGATGTGATCCTTAGACCCACAAAGACAAAGTTCTGTGAGGGTACTTGCCGTGTTCCTCATTTGCTTCGATTCCATCTTCAAGTGCCCAGCTCAGTGGCCGTTGACGCACAGTGCCGGTGCCCAGCTCCCATTAGCAAATGTGCCTTGACAAACTGCACCACGCTAGCCGGCCACGCTGGACAGTTGGACAGGCTTTACACCCAAGTTGAGAAGGGTTGTCAAAAGGATGTTGATAGCAAGCCACCAAGGTGGATTTGCTTTCTGAGCCAGTATTTGGCCGCGTCAGCTTTGGCCTTCTTGGAAGGTCATTCTAATTGCTCCTTGTGCAAGCCCTGAGCCCATGTCAGCTTGTGAGAAGACCAGCACCAAACGCACCTCAGCAAGGAGCTAAGGCGGTAGTTCTGACAAACGCAGCTTTGATGCCTCCTAATGGCTGTTCCTCGCGTTTTGGATCCTTTATCAGCTTGGTCTTGATGAAGACTAAGAAGACCAAAACGGGAGCAGTGGAACCTCTAATTGAGTGTGAAGCAGACTGCGTTGACATTGATCAAGCTGTCATGACAAGTGGTATGGGACGGCTTGGCCTATTGCATGGCTGTATACTGCCAGGTATTCCCTCCAGGTTTCACGAACCTATCATGACCTAGAACAGCAGTCTCGAGGACTTGCCATTGTGAAGCCCTCAATCATCCAAGAAGCAGACCTTAAGTGCCACAAGACAAAAGCATCCTGCACTGTCGTAGATCTTTTCATTGCACCCTGATGTCTCAGTTCTCTACACTCTGCCAAGACAGGATTCGGATCATCTGGCTTCTGGGACCCATGGTTTTCTTTGAAGCAAATACCAGAGACTCGCCTGCCAGAATCATTTGACCTTGCGATCGATGGATCTTCCATGTGAGGAAACACTCTGCAAGATTCAGACTTGTCTGACTTCGAGGATGCAACCAACCAAGATGAGGTTGCAGCTGTCCCCAAGTTCGTCAGGCTTTCACATTCGCCATGGTCTCTGTGTGCCCACAAGACCAGTTGCAAAGACCTTCGTGAGTGTCAACTATGTTGAGGCAGGTGGGCAAAAGCAAAAGCTTTGCAGAGTATCCTGCTGCATAGGTGCAGACTCCTCGTGCTTCCAGCATGCTCCTTCGAGTTGCCTCAATTAAGCGAGAAGCCTCATTGTCCAGTTCCTCCATAGTGTTCCACGAGGCAGGGAGACGTTCATTTTGTGACAGGGTGCAGGTAGCCTCTTGGTGCAGGCAGTTCTTCCACCATTTCTCGCCCCAGTGAAGAATCAGTGAGAGAGCATTTGCTTCGTGTGTGCACTGATTTGCGCCGCAAGTGCTAAAAGATTGGTTTGAGCACAGTTGCATCTTGTGGATGGGTGGTGATCTCTTAATCAATGACGATGTTGCCCATATAGATGTCCCTGTACCATTTCCCGAGCTGACTTGACCCTTAAGTCTCCTGCTACCATGCGGCGACCAAAGCTTGCTCACGCAAATTGATTGTTCGACCGACCCGCATTGCTGGGAGTCTCACAGGAGCATGCCTACATTGAACTGTTGAGCATTCCTCAGGTCAAATTTGACGAGCTGTTTTTACCGAGAAGAGGCTACCCTGAGACCTTCTGGTTTGCCTTGTCCAATACTTAGACTATGTCGAACACCAGAGGACCCTCATGTTTCAGCAATGTGCCCGACGAACAAAGATAGGATCAAGCCCTCCTGTGCAAACTAGTCACAGCCGTGAGCTCGCTGGCCTTGGTGTTGCCCAACGACGTAATATTGACAACCTTTTAGATGATCTCGCTTGCTTCTGTTCTGAAAGAGCTTTGACTCCAAAGCAGGAAGTATGCAGGCAGGATTGATTCTCTTCCTCAAACATGTTGGCACCAAAGGCAAAACGAGTGCTTGGGTTCCAGTTTAAGGCAGTTGCAGTTGCAGAAAACATTTCGGACAAGCCTTGTAGCAGCAAGGCCGGTGCCTCTTCACTCATGCTTCTTCCGGCTCTCCTTGCCGAGCTGCTTTACATTTGCAGCTCTGGAAACAGCGAGCCTTGGGTGACCACATGATTGACCAGCTGTCGGATCTGCCATGTGCCATCAGCCATGTGACGATCTCTTTGCAGCCCAAACCCGGATCAGATCCAAGCCAAGCTTGTGGATGGCACAAATGGAAGGGGACGGGTGGCTGAGAGGTACCAAAACTGGCGTTTCACGCTTCAAAGCCCATGAGGGAAGTAAGTCATAAAGAATCTATTCTTCGTGGCTGCTAGCAACAAAGTGAGTGAGTCATGCAGCTGCCTGAAGCATGCAGCTTGCTGTGCCGGTGGCATCTCGTTTGAGAATAGAACGTGCTTGCGCCAAGGCGCTTGTTCTTCAGCCAGTTGTCAGTGAAGCAAATATATGATACACTGATTGACATGGCAATAGCTTCCAGCATTTGCTACCAGACTTTCTCCTGTCCTCAGCCCAGCGGGTGCAAGGATTCATTGAAGTCAAAACACCAAGAATGTAAGAGATCTTGCAGTGCAGAGCTTACCATTGCTATCAAGGCCAGTCCTTTCTTCCAGGGCGTGCTTCTGATAGATCCAAGTCGACCTCAGTCTGCTTTGTCCACATGGGACCGCGTGAAGCGTGCCAAGCCAACTCCTTGACCAGTCGTTGCCAGCCCAGCTTGCAAAATTGGTCTAACCTGTCAGATGCTCGACTGGGTTTGTTTCAGGTAAAGACTTGGCAAGATTGACTAAAGTAAGGTAGAGCCAGTAAAGCAAAAGTCAAAGAATCTAGGCAAGCATAAGGCATTTGATGCAAGCATTTTGCAGCACAGAATAGCCGCAGACTTGCTAGATGTGGCCGTTTTCTGTGTCCAGATGCGCTGAAGTCGTCATGTGTTTTCCCAGTGTCAGATGTGCTGGACTCGTCAGATGAGCATGGTGAGTTGAGAGCTCACGTGCCCTCGCAACAATGGACGGTTTCTGCGAACATTGCGCTGGCTGGCTTAGCCCACTTGACATGAAGCTCACCCAGCAACCATGAGAAGTGGACATTACCTAGTGCAAGTGCACAGAAGCTAAAAGCTAAGCTAGTCCTGATACCTCAGAAGTCGGGCAGGCAGTAGTCGAGTAGGCAGCATGTGTGATTTGGCGACATTGATAGATATGGCGCTGGTATCAGACAGGGTAACTACGCCACGGATTCGGAATGTGCCTGATTTGACAAGTCAGCATGCTGGCTTCTCGCCACCCCTTGCGATGGTGCCAGCCGGCCGCAGCAAGTCAAGCCAGATTTCTTTGTATGTAAAGAAGCACTGATCGTGAAGATATTTTCGCTTCAAGGTAGTGTCTTGTGCCAAAGACCATGCAACGAACAGGTCACAGGGAATGAGCTTTTACTCAAGAAAAGTCGTGCTTCCATTGGACCTGGTGCCACAACTGCTGTTTCGCTGAGTTGAGAGCGAAGCTCAGTTGCAAGACTTCAATAGTAAAGGAAACAAAGATCATGTCATGACGCATCTAGGTCTAGGTGACTTGGCCTTGACATCACACAGAAATATCCAAGCCAATCATTATGATGTCATTAAAGATCTGGACTTCTGCCAGCGAATGACACCAAAAGCTTTATGCAGGTTGAGTTTGACGGACAGACTGAGCGGCTCGATGCGATCGTTTGCCCCGCTGGCTGCCAGGGGAAGTCATAGGGCCATAAAGAGACTCCACGTGGAGGTTGGCGCTACATGTACTGTAACATCTGCCAGTCTGCCAGTCACCCGAGTGGCTCGAGGTGGCGGAGCTGGAGCTCTGACCAAGTCCTTGCAGTGGGGGGACAGTCCATAGTCGAGCAGTTTCTAAACAGCAAGCTAAATTGCATGCAAGGCATTTTGGAAGAGCAACTACAGTCCATCGCTCTGAAACTGAAGGGCTTTTGCCGAAAACTGCAAGCGATGCTGTCTCCCAGTTCCTGCCACGCAGGTGCGTCCATGTGCAATATTATGAATTCCCAAAAGTGGACTGCCTTGGCATCAAAAGGATCTATTCACCATTGCAAACCGCTGTGCGGGAGATTTTATTGGGTGCGAAGTGAACCTTAGGGGAGGACTCAGACCTCTCTGTTAGTATCACTGCGAAGCGTGTTGCAGGGCTCTGTGCACCTGCATGCGTGCCAAAATTTCTTGCCAAGAATGTGGAAATGGAGTCCAAGTCAGACTAAATCAGAAGCGGAAGCTGAAGTTGCTCACTGGGTGTCCTACATTGCTTTCTTATTCTCTTTGAAGCTTCCTGGAGTTTCGGGAAGACCAGCATGGATCTCAGCAATTTATTCTGCAGCAAAGTGCTAAATTGCTTTGCAAGCAATGTAGACCTTTTTCAGCTTGTTTTGAGTGGCACTGAAGCTGGTCAGCGCATGCCACAGCTCAGAGTCCTTCGGCATGACCAATAGCAGCATGTCCAGGTCTGTAATCCAGTCGCAAAGTGTGGGCCGGACAGGCGCGTCACAGTTGCTAATTGATTATTTTGTGACCCTGATTGCTGGTGATAGTGACACGCCACAAGTATCTCCTGCCTTTTCCGATGTTCGCCTGAAACCTTAGTAATTTGGCAGACGACCCTGCTTGTGGGATTGCCGAAGCAGCTTCGTCAACAGCCCTGTTGGCCATGCCGGTACAGTTCCTACAGGATTATGCCTGCGATGGATGCGCACAACTCTGGTCAATGCATTCTGCAGAACGGACCATTTGCAGATCAGCGGCTACTTTTGGCAAACCTGAAGGGTTCCTTGGCGATATTTTTGTCCCCAAAATTCAAGAGTTGACGGACATGTTACAGTACATGTTTCTTTTGGCTTTCGGACCATTCCATTCGTGGGTTCCGCTTTCCGTTTTGCAAACTTTTAGGATCGCTTCGTTTGTTTCTTTTTGCTTTTGGGGCAGAGTGTGCTTTTGCAATTCCCCCCGCTTCACAGATAGCCAGAAACCACGGGTTTTCCGCGGCAGTATGGTAGGTGAAAGGGTGAAAAAGACAGGGCAAAAAAGACGACTGGCGTGCTTTCTTGGGTGGCTTTTCTTTGGGTTCCACCATCTTCCAACACCCGTGGTTGCGCGCTCCTCGCTTCCTTCGCTTCTTCCTTTCGTCTTCCAGCGACCGGCAGTGACCGAGGTCTTCAGCCAGAACGTGGTCGAGGTCTCTGTGCCTCGGAGCGGCATCGGTGCTCGGTCGAGTCTCGTGTGGCCTCGGTGGAGTCTCGATGTCCGAGTCTGATTTGGATCATGGCCTCCAACCGAATGGCGTCCTTGCTCCTAGTGGGGATACCAGGAGCCCCTAGTAGCTTGTTCTTGAGCCTCTAATAGCG